AAATCAATCTCTCGCTCTGGAGGAATACCTGGAAGCTCATCTGGAAACACATCTGCATACTCAGTGACTACGAGAATAGACTGAAGTGTAGATATCTCAGCATCTGCATCTCTAACTTCGCACAATATGATAAATGCACCCTTTTGCAATCATTTCCCTCACCTTCAGATAGGAAATAAACCTACCTCTGGGTGTCGCTGTATTACCTACCCATTCAAGGACTGCCTCACCTGGAAAATGAAATCTGGCGGCCTTTGCTCGGTAATCAACTGTGGCATAGCAAGCTGACAACCAGTCCATGCACATGATAGCATCAAAATCCATCATCTCTAGCTCAACTAGGTCGGCTGAGGTCTGACTACTACAAACTGTCACCGTACAACCTCGGTAAACCCGTCTAGCAATAATCGATTCTCCGATCGGTGTAGATACCGCAAAAGGATCGCTTAGATGCTTTCCTTGACCACAAAACGGAGACTATACTCTCGAACACTCATATGGGTTTGTTTTATGCTAACAAAGATAGTGCAAATCTTGTTGGTTATACAGATGCAAGTTATTTATCTGATCCCCATAAAGCTAGATCTCAAACCGGCTACGTTTTTACATGTGGAGGTACTATCATATCATGGCGCTCCACAAAATAATTTATTGTTGCTACTTTTTTAAATCATGCTGAAAGCTATTCATGAAGCAAGTAGGGAATGCGTATGGTTGAGATCAATAATTCATTTTATTCGAGAAAAATGTAGTTTGGAATGTGAGAAAATACCCACAATTTTATACGAAGACAATGCTGCATGCATAGCCCAATTGAAGGGGGGATTTATAAAAGGAGATAGAACGAAGCACATTTCACCAAAATTATTCTACACACACGATCTTCAGAAAAATGGTGATATTGATGTGCAACAAATCCGTTCAAGTGACAATCCGACAGATTTATTCACTAAATCTTTACCAACTTCAACTTTTGAGAAGATGGTATACAAGATTGGAATGCAGAGACTTAAATATTTGAAACAAGGTTTTCACCAGGGGGAGTAAAATACGCTATGTACTCTTTTTTTCTTACTAAGGTTTTTTTCCCACAGGGTTTTCCTTATAAGGTTTTTAATGAGACAGCTAGCAATACGTATTATTAAATATGTGTACTCTTTTTCTTTCACTAGGATTTTTTTCCACAGGATTTTTTCCTAGTAAGGTTTTAATGAGGCACATTATCTTTTAATGAATATCCAAGGGGGAGTGTTATAAATATATTATATTATGGATGTTCATTTAGTACTCCGTTGTAGATAAGCTTCCTGAAGAAGCTTATCCATATGAGTCTCTGCCGTAAATATGTTTATCTATTTAGTACTCCATTGGAAATAAGCCTCCTGAAAAAATTTATCCTTTCGGTACTCCGTTATGGATAAATATTATCCATGGTAGAAAATTATCTATATCTGGCACAACAGCTTAAAGTAGCAGCTTACACAACAACTTTCTTTCTTCTATAAATAGAGGAGAATTCAATTCATTATGTACATAAATTTGAAGTTTGAATAATATATCAGTTTCTCTCTATACTTGTCTTTACTTCATAATAATTTTTTTTTTTTTTTTAAATTTCGTTATCAGTCAAATTATGCTACGTAAATTGAGACGGACATTGTAAATTGCTAATAATATGTCTTAATGTTGATTTCCGCAAAGAAAAGTAAACGTAACTCTCACGTGATTGGCTCGTGCCTGATCCAATAATTAATGGTGCACCTGCACCGCCTCTACATATAAATATGTCAATATCTCCTTATTTCATTCTCAGTTCACCATAATTTTTCGCCGTCTCGAACTTTCTCTTCTCCTCAAAGCTCGAAACCCTAACTTCAATATCAGCGCTATTCACGAATCTCTTCTTCTAATTCGATTTCGCAAGCATAAACAGGTAACGATCTTACTTCCAGAAATTTTCAATTTCTATAGATTGCGTTTCTCACGAGCTCTATTTTTGCTTTTGTTATTTATGTTCATGTTATTACGCCACAAAATGTTTTGATAGAGTAAAAACTGTGATTTAATTAGTTCAAGTTTAATTTTTTTTTGTGGCTATCGGAGCCTTAATTTTATAATTATAGCCTCTTGTTATGTGGAATTTGCGTTACTCACGAGCTCTTTTTTTTGTTTTTTTTTGTTTTTGTTATTCATGTTCATGTTATTATGCGGCAAAATGTTTCGAAAGAGTAAAAATTGTGATTTAATTAGTTCAAGTTTAGTTTTTTTTATTTATTCTGTAGATATTCGAGCCTTAATTTTATAATTATAGCTTTTGTTATGTGAGGATTCTAGACTTTTGTTATGCAGACTTGTAAAAAGTTTCATACTTTTGTAGGAGCTATAACTAATGATGCCAAAAGCTGAGAGTACGAGCTCCTTTTTGTTTTTATTATTTATGTTCATGTTATACACTGCGAGTTGTTTTGAACGAGTAAAAATTTGTGATTTAATTCACTCAAGTTTATTTTTTTTCTTCAATTTTATAGCTATCGGAACCTTAATTTTATGATTATAGCCTTTTGTTATTTGGAGACTCTAGCCTTTTGTTATATGTGGACTTGTGAAAATTTTCTTGATGTTCTGGAAGTTATAATTAATGGTGCCAAATAGTTGAGAGTAAGGCTTAGTTTCTGTTGTTACACTTGTATTATCAGAAGCAGAGCTAGGATTTCAAGCTTTTGAGTTTGGAATTCTAATCCTTTTACGTTAGTGAGTTCTAAATATAATAATTTGTACATATTAATGAATTTTTATAGACAAATACTAAGTTTAGATCGGATCTACTGGGTTCGGCCCGAACCCGTAGCTGAAGGGCTAGCTCTGGCCCTTGTGTATTATGGTCCAGTTTGATGAGTGTCTTTTTGGTTTGGTAAGAGTTATGTATGTCATTTTGTGATACGTAGAACCTCTAGTGCTTTTAATGAATGCCTAATAAGATAGTATGTTTGAAGGATTCATGTATCTAATTGCACCTAGGGGTGTGGCCTAGTGGTCAACAAAGTGAGAGAGCAACATGAGGTCTCAGATTTAAATCCCAACGGAGGTAAAAACACTATGTAATTTCTTCNGGATTAAACAGGTAGTCGGTGGAATAGTCGAGGTGCGCAAGCTAGCTCAGACACCATCGTCATATAAAAAGGGGATTCATGTAGCTAATTCTATCTCGATTGAGGCGTTGTTGTTGCTGCTGCTAGAACTTATTCCCCTTCACCGTGTTTTTCTTTTGGGCTTTGTTTTCTTATGAGGTCATTGGGTTATTCTCCTAGGAGAAGCTATAAATTTAACATACTTTTGCCGTTTCTAAGAACAACTACTGCTGCTCTCTGATTTCTAGTTCCTCTAGTTTATTTTAGATGGGAAGCCTGGGAAGTTGGAGAAACTGGTAGGGAACTCGAGCTTGGAGTTAGTTTCATCATATGGTGTGTTGAAAAAGTATAGCTGGGAAGGGTTGAAATTTAGTTTCTAGATATTCATGTGAGAGGAGAGAGCTGACTTATGAGCAGAAGGCCTGATTATTTCTGTTTTTTGTTGATGGGGATCCTTAAAAGGTTGAATGCTGTAGAGATGTGTTATTACTTGAAAAGGTGTGGGAAAAAGCAACTAAAGCTTCCATTTTTATCTGGATCTCATGTGTGTGCGCAGTTACTTTAATGCATGTCTATTTGAACAATTGCTTTGGTCTTTTAGGTAATACCTATAAGTTTCTCTGTCGTTTGAATAATGTGCTTCAAGCATCTGGGTTCTAGTGTGTGCTAGCATTGAGACTCTTCTTCTCTTGATCTTCCATCTGCTGATATTCAAGTTTAGTTGGATAGTCTCCATGTTGTCAATGCTGTGTTCAGTTGACTGACTTTCCTCCTCTCTCAGATGACAGCTAAACCACTAACAAGTGAGGCTATTGCTCTTACAGAGAAGAAAATGGACATGACTTTAGGTATTATTGTCAGCTACACATGTTTTACTCCTCTCTTTTGGTTTTCTTCCTCTCCTGCTGATAATCAGTTGGTGCTTGCAGATGATATCATCAAGATGTCCAGAACAAACACAACCAAGCCTAAGAAGCAAAGAGTTTCAGTAAGCACATCGCTCTCTGACCATTTAGTGTTTATTTCAGCTTTTGTCAGTTTGATATGAAACAGGATTTTAACATTTATCATCTGCTTTCTGCAGAATAGAAGCCAAAAATTTTCTAATAATGTTGCTCAGGATAAATCTGCTAAGATACAAAAGTTTATGGACACAAGATCATCTATGAGACAGGTACTCATCACAATTCTCTCAACCTATGAAGAATTTGATGGTTTCTTTTTTGTATTGGTGGATGCTGAATGATACTTCTTTGCTGATATTCTTATGCTTAGGGGGCTCTTGCTCGTAGAAGATCAAATTTTCAGGGAGACCAGTTCCCTTTGGCAACTGAGGCAGCCAAAAAGGCCGCAGTTGCTCCTATTCGCAATAGGCCTTTCAATCGAAGCCGAGCAGTGACTGTAAATAAACAGAGGTGTGTTTAAACTGTGAACTGTGAGCTTAATATATGATTAAGCTAGTCGGTTATTAGTGTCCAGGTTTGCTGCGCATGTCAAATTCTGAGCAATTTAACTCTCATTTGATGCAGGTAAATTGTGGTCCTATTTATTGTTGATGAATTTGCCATGTGTCTCTCCTTTATGCACTTTAAAAGCTTGCTGATAGTTTGGTCGGGTGATGTTCAAACTACAATCCTTGGAAGTTGTATACTCTAAAAGCATGCTGTTAGTTTGGTTGGGGTGTCGTTGACGCTACAATATTTGGATGTTTGTTCAAGTGTCAAATGATGATTATTTTCCATCAGAACATTGCATCTTTCTACAGTGTGTCAGTGGACTTAAGTTTGTTGTGCATGTTTTGAGTTTGAGTCCTACTCTTTTAAGTTGGTATTGGACACCCGAGACTTGGGAAATTTTAAGGTGGATTAAAGTGCATCTGTGAGAGCTGGCATAGAGAAAAGAATGTGTTACAATATATTGTTTTACCTAGCTGCAATATTGCCCTTGGAGTATGAGATGAATGAGAACTTCCCCGTAATGGCAATAAGTGTATATTTTCTGGAGGTTTGTTTGGTAGCACTAGCATCATGGGGTATACTATGTCTCGTAAGTTTGTGGTTTTGGAATGGTTGCTTTCATATGAACAGACACCCTTAGAGAAGCTTGTCCCAAAATAACTCATTAGTTCTTTGAAAGTTGATCATCATTGATTTCCTTTCGAGTCACATTGAAGTATGTCCTGGTGAAAGCTTCTGTTCGAAGTAACTCAACTATTTGGCATGTAATTGTCTTTGAATTTCCTCTGGGATATGGATGATCAATTCTTTCTGATTTTATTTCCTCTGCCCAACCTCCAAAATTGTTGTTGATATGAAGTTTGGAAAGGCATGGAGCATGACACATGGCATTCATCTGCTTCCTTTCAGCAATGAACTTGCGAGGCTGCTGTGCATTTTTAGTTTTGCCTTCTACCACCTTAAACAATATTACTTATATTATTCTATGGTTGGCATGACACTATTCATTTTGAAATGGTTGTTCTGGGACATGCAAGTGTTGATACTTCTCTTTCCAGGGGTTTGTATCCAACTGTGTGCCATAATCTAGACTAACCGGGGCTAACACTCCGGAAATTAAAAATGCCAAAATAGGAACAAGGATGGATATTATTAGAAATGCCTTATGTAATAGAGTCGATCCACTAAAGTCTTGAGCAGCGGTGTAGGATCAGATCCCAAAGATAGTAAGTATTTTCTTTCTTATGAAAGAAAGTCTTCTTCAGCAACAAGAAGAAGGAACATAATTGAATAGAGGAACTCCCGAGCATTTTGCACTGTTTTGGAGGATAGATATTGCATGTTCTGCATATTAAGTTGTTTACCAGAAATTTTTAGGTTTGTGGGTTGTGCGAGGGGCTCCAACTCGAAACTTTTACTTGCAACCCTGTTGAAGAGATTCTGGAATCTTGGTGAAGCTTTACTTTTTGCCGAAGTTAACGGATGATGAAATCCCAAGGATGTTATTTCTCCCACATCAATGGTCTGATAGTTCTACTTTGGACTTTGTTTCCTTCTGGTGGGAGATATGCGTATGAAGTTCTGTTTCTGGGTGCCGCTTCTGTTTCTAAGGTTTGGCTAGTTGAGAATTTTTTATTAGCAGACTGATGGTAAGTTGGAAATATACAAGAACTTGTATGCTTATAGTGCTCTGCCACCACACATTGATCCTGCAACTTGGGGCTGCTCACTCTTTAATAAGAAATCTGTGGATAAGCACTTCTCCTTACAGTCGCTCCAATTCTTTTTTTCCTTTTGCAGGTTCGGGGCTCCTTCGGTTCAGAGGGGTGCTGCAAATGGTGGCCGGTTTATTATTAAGGTAATTGAAGGTCCAACTAGAATTGATATAGCTGTTCTTAAACTTATAAAGGTCCCCGCTTTTCTGCTCTTCCCACATTGAAATTTGAAAGCTTGGATTTGAGTCAAACTCCGCAAGGACCATATCACTGGAGGTGTCTCCATTTTTTGATAGTCTGATTTGTCACTTTTTAGAAGCATTGCCTTCTCGCTGCTGTCGGTTCTGTAGATCAGCTTGTATGCATCTTCTAAGGTTTGAAGAAATGTAACAGTTTGTGTTCTGTGTGTGTAGCAACAAAGGCAGGAGGTCAAGCCAGTGTCAAAGCAGAGGCCTCAGACATTAGATTCTCTATTTGCAAATATGAAGGAACAGAGGATGAAGATGCAATCTCAGCAGAATAACGCTCCAAGGAGAAATGGAGGCGGGCAACAAATAGTGCCATGGGCTAGAGGTCGTTTTGGGAAGTGATGACAGATCATGTTCTGCTGATTCCATGTGCTATGGGCTAGATGTCGTTTCGGGAAGTGATAAACAGATTACTGTGCAGCTAATGCCATGTGCTCTTTGCAGATTAGTCCTTTAGGTCCGTGTTGTGAATTTGATAGCAGAGCTCTCTGCACCTGATCATTGTGGTTCTTTTTGTGTCCGTAGCAGCCTTAGGTGCTATCTTTTCTTGGGGAATGGCGAAAACTGTTTGGAACTTGTTGTGATTTGACGCAGATGCGCTTTATAACTATCCATATAAGAAATTTGTATAGCATTTCTTGGTTTTAGTTCGATCCTAAAGTTTCTATGTTTGATTCGTAACTTTTGTAGCTTTGTATTGTTAGGTAGGAAGCATATATTTGATAACAGTTGTCCCGAACCAAGGACAAGGCATTGCTACTTGCTAGTTTCTTTTTGGCACTATACATTTTTCTTTAATTAGGTTGAATCTAACGGAAGTTTTTTTTTGTTGCTAATAATCTAACGGAAGTTGAGTCTGAATCATTGAGATCTCAACTTGATTAAATTCACTTCTTTCAAAAGTATTTATCTTTAAATAGGTTTGAATCAATCAAATCTTGTATAGACTTTTACTTTCAGAGAATGTATTTTCACCACCACTCTATTTATTATCATTGGCTACTACCATTACTATTACTCCAGCCGCTACCACTAGCTTTCAAAATATGGTACATCAAAGAAATCATTTATACAACGTTAAACAAACTAATATTTTTTCTTTAATATTTTGTACGTAGAGTATTATTAATAATTTATTTGAATTATATATTTTTTAAATAAATGCAGCAACAACAACAACAATCCAGTGGAATTTCACAAGTGGGGTTTGAGGAGAGTAATGTGTATACAGACCATACCTATCTTGGGAAGGTAGAGAGACTGTTTCGATCCTCGGCTCGAAAAATAAACAATCTTAATTATACAATGTTTAGTCCTAGATACAATATCTTAATTAGCAGAACGGCAAAGGGCTAAATATACCCCTCTACTTTTGAAAATGGTCTAAGAATACCCTCGTTTTACTATTGGGTTATCTATGCCCCTTCAGTCATACTCTGGGTTCAAATATACCCCTCATTTAAACGGAGGGACACATGTCATCGTCCTGTTGGTCAATTCTAAATATCTCCTAATTAATTAAAAAGACCCATTACCCATACACGAAAAATAATTTTTTTTTTTGTAAAAACTGGAAAAAACTGAAATTATTTTTACTAAAAACTGAAAAAAACGAAAATATTCTTTTTTTTAGTTTTTACAAAAAAATGCCTTAGAAAAAACTGAAAAATATTTTCTAAAACAATGTTTTTGTAAAAACTAAAAAAAAGAAGCTGAAAATCAATTTTCTAAAGAAATTTTTTTTGTAAATACTGGAAAAAACTGAAATATTTTTTACTAAAAACTGAAAAAAACGAATTTTTTTTTCTTCTTCCAGTTTTTACAAAAAAACTGCTTTCAAAAAAGCTGAAAAATATTTTCTAAAATAATATTTTTGTAAAAACTGAAATAAAAAACTAAAAAGCAATTTTCTAAAGCAATGTTTTTGTAAAAACTAAAAAAAAGAAGCTGAAAATCAATTTTCTAAAGCAATTTTTTTTGTAAAAACTGAAATAAAAAACTAAAAAGCAATTTTCTAAAGCAATGTTTTTGTAAAAACTAAAAAAACAAATATTTTCTTTTTTTCTTCTTCAGTTTTTAGTAAAAAATATTTCAGTTTTTTTCAGTTTTTACAAAAAAAATTGCTTTAGAAAATTGATTTTCAGCTTTTGCAAAAACATTGTTTTAGAAAATATTTTTTAGTTTTTTCTAAGGCAGATTTTTTGTAAAAACTGAAAACAAAAATATTTTTCTTTTTTTTTCTTCCGTTTTTAGTAAAAATAATTTCAGTTTTTTTCAGTTTTTACAAAAAAAATAATTATTTTTCGTGTATGAGTAATGATTCTTTTTAATTAATTAAGAGATATTTAGCATTGACCGACATGACGATGTCACGTGTCTCTCCATTTAAATAAGAGGTATATTTGAACCCAAAGTATGACTGCAGGGGTATATATAACCCAATAGTATAACGAAGAGTATTCTTAGACCATTTTCGAAAATAGAGGGGTATATTTGGCCCTTTGCCGAAAATCTTAGTAAAACAAACGGTCTAAGTTAGAGAGCCCTAGATATGAATTTATCTGGTTGTTAATCTTAAAATTATTCCAATTAAGCTAAATAAGGTATTTAACAAATATCGGGGTGTAGCTCATATGGTAGAGCGCTCGCTTCGCATGCGAGAGGCACGGGTTTCGATTCCCCGCACCTCCAATTCCTCTCTTAGCTTTCATATATTTTATTTACCGTTTTCAGATGTTACTTTATACTGGTCGAAAAAGGTCATATAACTAAAATAACATTTGTAATGAACTACAAAGTAACTAATAACATTTATTAGTGAAACTACACTTTGCTTTCGTTATTGCATGCACGCCCAAAAACACAGATTCTTTAAGTTTTTGAAAATAAATTTTACATATTTTAAGACCAGTTTAAAAAGCATTATAAATCATAAGGGTTAATAGTTTAAAATATGAAAAAATATATAATATATGCGTGATCAAAGAAGAACATCCTTTGACTCCCCAATAATATTATCTGGTGTAGATTGTCTTCACTATTTACTATTTTGCTTCTTACAATTTGAATAGAACAGATTGACCCAACAAAAATTTCATATATTTTATTTACCATTTTCAGATGTTACTTTATACTAATCGTCTATGATGTTATTTGTAATGACCAGATGAATTTTCAAGAATACAATGTTAGGGAAACATTTTGCATTTTACAACCTAACAATTGTACTTTTTCCTTTGATATTCGTGCAGTTAAACTTAGTTGTTTATTCACAACTCGGCAAAGCAACTGCATTTTCCTTAATTAGATATAACTCAGAAATCCTTGTAAATGTCATCATTCGCTTCTGTATTCAGCACAAAACTAGGAAATGCAGCTGTGATATCCCTGCAAAGTAACAAAACTCATCCTTTCAATTCACTAAAATCAGCAGAAGTTTGATAAATTAGCACTACTCAAGTATTTTATGAGCAATTCCAACATAGTTCTATTACTTTGATGTGACAAAATATAATCCTATAATTTTATTGTTATAGCAGGTAAATTTTACATAAATACAAAGCAAGTGATAGAGGAAGATTAGAGAATTACTTGAGATATGGAATTGTCATGTTCTTCAATAAAGATGGATTTAGAGCTGCAAAACTATTCCACTCTTCTATATCTATCTTTCCATCCCCTTTAGAATCTGCCTCCTCAAATGTCTTGGCCCAAAAAAATTAGATTAATAATATGAGTTAGTTAACTTTAAATGCTATATTATTCCGACTTTATACTATTGCATTTTTTCTCTATACTATTATGATTTTTGCATGCTTGCTTGGAGTCGAACGTCTACTGGAAACAACATCTCTACCTCCACAAGGTAGGGGTAATGCTTCTATTCACTATCCTCTCCAGACCCCACTTGTGGGATCAGTGGTGAAGCCAAAAAATTCAATAAATGTGTTCAAATTTGAACACCCTTTGCAGTGGGCTATGCAAGGATGTTCAAACTATTTTTTTAATCAATAACAAATAATATTTTACCCTGAACATAATATAATTTCTCGGCGAAGATTGTTCAATTGACCACCCTTGGCCATACGTAGCTTCGCCCCTGTGTGGAATTACACTGTGTTTGTTATTGTTGCTACGTTAGTCGGACTCTTCAAAAATGCTATTAGGCACTCGTTAGATTCTCCAAAAGTAGTACATCTTTGGAGGATCGAACACAAGTACGACAATATTATTGAATAATTTAGTGACCATCCCCCCACCCCCCACCCCACACCCAGTAAGTTGCATGTAAATAATACCTTGTCGACAATAGCTTCAACTATATCATCAGTGAGTATCAATTCTGACTCATATAATAGTGCTAAAATCAGCTCCTTCACCTGAACTCAGCTCAAATTCAAGGAGAAAAAACAGAAATAAGGGTTTATTTGGCCTCTATTAAGAGGAATTAACTTAAATAGCCGTCCATTCAATTGCTTAAATTAAATATAACTAGCGGATATATAAAATATGTATAATTCATGTATAATATGTATATAACTGTATATAATCAATATATAGTTTATGTATACCGGTTAGAAAAAATAAGGATTAAATATGACAGGTTACAACAACAACAACAACTCAGTATAATCCTACTAGTGGGGTCTGAGGAGGGTAGTGTGTACGTAGACCTTACCCCTACCCTGGGGTAGAGAGATTGTTTCTGATAGACCCTTGGCTCCCTCCCTCCAAGAACTCCTCACCTTGCTCTTGGGGTGACTCGAACTCACAACCTCTTGGTTGGAAGTGGAGGGTGCTCACCACTAGAGCAACTCAATCTTGTCAAATATGACAGTTACTTGTGTAAAAATCCCTTCTATTAAAAGTCATATGTTATGCTAACTTCACACTAAACCAAATTTATCCACTATAACAATAAAGTTCCAAACCAATTTTTTGTAACTACAAGTATAATATAGTCACAGAACTATATTTTGCATATCAAAGTGACTGAAATTTACCCGCTGTAATAGAAAAATTACAAAACTTTTACCCTCTATAACATTAACGATAATGTCACCTTGATGTGTAGGTTTGTCGTTATAGTGTATAAAGTTTAGTGACTTTACCGTTATAGCAGGTAAAAGTCAAGTCACTTGAATCTACTATTATAGTAGATAAAGTTTAGTGACTAATGTTATAATGACTAAAGTTTAATATTTTAAGGTGATTAAAGAAATAGTTTTGTGACTCTACGGTTATTATGTTGTTATATGAGTAGTGCATATTTACCTCTTCACGTCCAATGAAGCCTCTTTGCCATAAGTCATACACTTTAAATGCAACTGCAGCATCAGAAACCACAGGGTTCAATGCAACAGCAGTTTACGTTGCTCGGACCTTCCAAAAATATTGCCGATCCCGTATCGAATTCTCTATGTATTTTTGGAGAATTCAGCACACAACCCGACGACATTTTTAAAGAGTCCGAGCAACATTGGTAGAAACATCTGTCTGATTTCATTGCCTTATCTAATGCCAGAAAAACACCTAATTGGAAATTCATACCAGCAATTTTCTCTGCTTGAGAAGCATCAGGATGGAAGATGCTTAGTGTACGAATAAACTCGCCAAAGTCTATTAGCCCATCATTGTTGGAGTCAAACAACTTGAACATCTATACGTAACTGACATTACTGTCAGAGTCAGAGTCAGGATTTGAAACTTATGAATTCAGTATTCTAATTTTTTTAAGTTACTGGGTTCTAAACTAATAATTTGTGCACAATTCAATAATTTTTACGACAAATACAAAAGTTACTGGTTCAGCCGAATCCATATCCAAAGGGTTACTGTCAAACCAAGGTTTAAGAAAATGTACATAATGAAAAAATGGCCATTGCAGCGCATAAGCAAATCGACGCGGATTTTTCGGGTTCAACTGAATCTATTACTTTCTGTTCAGATTATGTATACAAAAAAATTAAAATATATTATATAACAAGATCAGCTCATGCTGAAGCAGTGGCAGAATTAGGAATTTTGGCAATGAGATTAAGAAATACAAGAATAACACATTTTGGATTATGAACCTATGACTTTAAGTAAATTTTGAACCTCTTTACCATTACACTAGACGTTTCTCTTATGTCAAGGGAAATCAATAATAGTCTATATATACAAAAAAAAAAAAGGAAGAAGATTATTTTTACTGTATTTGCGCAGTATTATTTTTTTAATAAAATGGATTTAGTTCTCCTTCCCAAGAGGTGGCTCGGCTCTTGTTCTGAATTCACTGACTCTAGATCTTGAATTCGCCACTGGTACAACGTAAAATATATGCACGCTAAAGTATAGAGCTAAAAAGAAGTTAACTAACCCTGTCTGAAAACAGAGATTGCTTCCTGCTATCTCTGAATAATCCAAGCTGGAACTCTTCCTGTAACAAACTCAAACTTATATTAAGTCATCAAATATAATAAGAATTTTTTTTAAGAAAGAAAGAAATGATGGAATTTACTCTGCTAATAAAGAAAGACAGAAATGATGGAATTTACTCTGCTAATAAAGCCATCATTGCAAATAGAACAGCTTAATTTTCTGAAGAGTTCACTTAAGGTCTTGACTTCTTCCAAAGAAACTGAAATCAGAAAAAATAGAAGTGAATGTTAAGGGAAGAAAAAAGAAAAAAGAAAAAAGAAAAAAGGAAAAACCTATACGTACAATGTGTCTGAGCTGCCAGTACAACATGATCTTCATATATCTTTTCTTGCTTTATTAAAACACAGCCCATTTTATAATAGTTTTCTGTTTTGTGTAGGCTATATATATACAGGTTTCCTGAATCTCTATAATTTATATGGAGGGGTTGGTTGTATAAATGGAAGGGAACTTTGGAGCAACGGTAAAGTTGTATCCGTGTGACCTACAGGTCACGGGTTCGAGCCGTGGAAGCAATGACTAATATATGCATTAGGATAGACTGTCTACATCATGTACCCTGGGGTGCGGTCCTTCCCCAGACACTGCGTGAAAGCGGGATGCCTTGTGCACCAAATTTAATTGTATAGATAAAAAGCATAACTGAACATTCATAAGCCTTTCACCTTACTTTCTTGACCATAGAGAGGTGACAATGGGCGAGTTAGGTTAAATTTGAGTAGGTCAAAGATAGTCAAATTAATAAGCGAGTTATGATCCAACTAGTTTGAGACTAATATAAGGTATAATTGTTTTTTAGTGGAGAAAATTGTGGGAGTGACTTGGTAATATGTACGAGCAATATAAGGGGCGGAGCTACAGCCCGTGTAAAATTATACTGAATATATAGATTAACATTACTTTTTTTTACATACGTATTAAATCTTGAACTTCCTTAGAAAAATTCAGCCACTGGCCCTATAATTAAGCGCAAAGTGTACATTCTATTAAAGGTATTTATTCACATTCCTATTTTAGAGATTTTAAAAGGTACATTATATTCCTTAAGTTATCATTTTATTGTGGAACCAGGTACTCTTGCTTTTATAATGTGCGGTTGTAAGGAACGAAATTGTTCACATTCACCAAATTGGTTGTACATAAGTAGTTCCCAATGTTCCAAATTCAGGAAATTGGAAGAAGAGTAAATTTTTTTTTGGTTGAAAATATTTCGGAACGCATCAATCCTCCGTTCATACGTATTTCATACATTCCAGATATAGATTTGGATAAAATTTCATGTGGTTCGGAAAAACTTACTAAGTTAGCTCGAATTTCATGTCGTTTCCATTGACATTATTTGACAAATTTTTAATACAAAAAGAACTCAAATTATTTTCTCAAGAAGTGGTGAAGTATTAGAGCTCAAAAGTCAGTGCTACAATAGCAATAATTACGCTTCAATTTCAAGTAAGTTGAAGTGGGTTGTATTAATTGTCATTGGTCATATCGCTCAACAAAGATCATTACTGAATGAAAATATGCAAACTGAGCCCCGGACCATCACTCTGTCATCACCATACTTGTCCCGCGGAACATGAGCTCTGATACCAGTTGGGCAAAACCAGCTCAAGGATAATGTACTCTTACACGGTGTAATATTATCCGCTTTGATCAAGCCCACACGGTTTTTTCCATAAGACTTTATACTATTAAGAGATCTCTGCCCCTTATATGTTGACTCCCAATATTTTCAACTACCAATGTAGAACATTATTCGCATCACCAACAATCGAAAAATGCCAATTCTTATATACAAGATTAGAAAATCAAAAGATGCAAGTCAAAAGAGAGATTTGAGTACCTTGAATTGGGGTAAAATGACATAAGCAATAAATTCTAAATGGATAATGACAACAATTAACTAGGCTAGTGGTGGATTTAGCATATAATTAGCTGGTTCAAGTGTATTCAAAATTCTCAATCAGAGTAAAAATATTTATGTAAAAATTATTAAAATTTTAAAATAATAATTTTTGAACCCCTAATTTCAGAAAGTGCATAATAATAAGTAGAATCTACAAAATTTGAACACATCAAATTTAAATTATGAATTCGGCTCTCGACAAGATATCCATTTCGACTAAAACTTAAAAATTTGAACACATCAAATTTAAATTATGAATTCGCTTCTTAACCAGACATCCATTTCCACATTGTTCATTTAATACAATAGGAGGTAAGGAGTGTACTAGCATTAAGTTGTAGTCTTTCCTATCATCCATATCGATTGAGCTCTCTGTAGTTATCAATCATATCTTCTTTGCATAAAACTTCAAATCCTGCTTGGAATATATTCCTCCAATTAATTTTCTAACTTATTTTTCGCCTTATACCTATATTAATCAAGAATATCTAAATCATAGCAATTAGATTCGCGTAAGGTGACACGTCCACCTCTTCTTCAGAAACTTCCTAGCCTAGAAGCATGTCATTGATGCTTGACTGGCCCTTATCAGCCCGCCCTCCATCATGGGCAGGGGCGAAGCTACATTTACTTAAGGGTCGTCAATTGACCACTTTCCGTTGAAAAATTACATTGTATATATAGGTAAAATATTAAATTTTAGAGGTATATTATAACATATATTGAACACCCTTTGTCGGATTTGTTTTACTTCTTTCTAGTTTGAACACCCTTAGAGAAATTCTTGACTTTGTCACTGGTCATGGACATAATTTTATAAACCATAGAAAATTTTATGGGACGTTTAATATGACAAGTTTCAAAAATCTATCTTTCATACTTAAATTTTGTGCCCAATCAAACTACGTTGTGTAAATAGAAACGGAGGGACAAATGAAAATTTCTAACACATCTAGCTCTTACATGAGATATTTCTGCTTCAGGAGTCTTCTGGTGGAATATACTTTAGTGACCAAACAATTTTTCCAAATTCTGTAACCCACTTATGCTTACGATCTAACATATCAGACCACTACAATAATGCTACAAAAAAGGTAAGGTTATTATCTGGAGAATAAAGTTGAAGATGCTGGAGTTTGTGAAAAGGAAAAGGGCCAAATTTGCCCCTCTACTATATAAAATCGCTCAATTGCCTTAAGAAAATAGATTTTCAGTGACGATATTTAGTGGCGACTAATGAAGTCGAACGAACTTATGCCCATTAGTGGCGATAAACCTGGTTGCCACGATAAGTAAAGAGTTTTAGCAGCGACTTGGGAAGTCACAACGTATAACTGCGATCAAAAGTGAAATTTCTGGTAGTATACCCTTGCCGTTAGCAACTTGTCTCATTTTTAAGTTTCACTTTTTATTGTGAAATAAAATGTTTGAGAGTTGGAGTGTTTCATATGGGTCGATGTGGACTTGTCATGTACTATTTCTTGGCGTGGACTCCTTTGAATACAGGAAGATTTTTTTCAAGTGTTCGAAACCTGAAATAAATTAATTTTTTCACTCAATTGTCTATATATTCTCTTAGTTTTCACATTTCAATTGTTTGATGAAATGATATGAACTAAAATATAAGCCTATTAATTGCTTTTGTTAATTAACTGTTGTTTAAGCACGTAAGAGAATATTACAAGGACAATATTTTCTTTTTAAATCTTAATGGGGTAGACACTTGCATGTACATTATTTAATTTAATTAAATAACATCTTTCAATTTTCAAAGAGAAAATGACAAAGAAGGAATCTACACTACTTCAAAAGGTGCATTCAATCTCACCTAAACCATAAACTTTTACTACTATTAAACTTTTAATTCTGACATTACAGTCCTTTTTCCAATTAAGACCTAAATTTATTACCACGTTGACCTGCAATTGTCTCATGTGATGAGATTAAGGGAATTTTTGTGATCTTTTGTAACTAAAATCCTCAAAGAAACACAAAAACTGAAAATAAATAATAAAGAGAGAACAAATAAGGAAGAAAAAGCAAGAACGATTAAGCAGACAAACACAATTGACTTTCCAATAGCAAATTTTCATAGATTCATACAAAGAGGCATAACAAAATGCCATATCCAACAACTACCTTAGAGATGTTAATTAATACTATAGTGAAAATCCAATAGTTTTTTTCTCATTAGATCAGATTGATCATTAATACTCTCGCTATTGAGATCATATGTTAACTACCATCATACAACAACAACAATAATAAATTCAGTGTAATTCTACAAGTGGAGTCGGGGAAAAATACTGTTACCTTCTAAAGATAGAAATGTTGTTTTCGATAGATTCTTGGCTCAAGAAAAGTAAAATCACAGCAGCATTGAAAAGAGATGTTGACTACCATCATGTTAAACAAATATAATCACCCGCTCAAACCAGTTGCTATTGCTCCTATTAAATGGCCTGTCATCCTAGTTAACAGTTCCAGCTCCGTATCAAGATCACAATCGATGTATATTTACTAATATTACTTAAGCAAATATTCTTGTTATACTCTTGTACATCGTTGTATCTAATCTACCTTCTATATAACAGACCCTTTTTTGCCACTCCACTTTCCTTTATCTCGGCCTCTTTCCACTCTACTGGTCCGACTGATCCAATACTAGGATTATATAGGGAAAAGGTCCAAAATTGCCTATCTACTATGGTATATAGTTTAAGTTTGTCCCCCGTTAAACTTTTCGTTCAGATCCACCCCTACAGTTAACAAACTTTCTAGAATTGCCCTTAACCCTAACAGATCTCCACCGTAGCTCCCAATCCTCTATTAATTTGTCCATATCAGCTTCCATATCAGCAGGTCCCACATTAAAATTAACCTCATCATCACACACCACACAACATGACCTTCATCTTCCTCTTTCAATCCAAAATAAATTCACACCAAAACCACCGGATAACATGGCAGCTCACCAAAAAATTCCTCCGGTAGTACTAACCTCCACTATACTGGCCCCCTCTTCGTTTCCCTTCTTCTCTTCTTCTTTTTCTTCGTGTTCCATCATCCAAACAGCAACCCCGTTCCACCAAATAAGCAAACGGAACTGGTGAAACTCGCCGGAAAATTTACAAGGCCAACACCACTGACTTACCCCCTTCCTTCATTTTCTTCTACTTATTTTCTTTTTCTTCTTTCCAATTTATTGGAACTAAAAAATCAGAGGTTTCGCCATTTTTTGAACTTCGCCGGAAAATAGAACCTCGCCAGATCCCACTGAAATTCTCGGATTTGCTTGTTGGTTTTTATTTTCCTGTGACCTTTAAATAGTTGCTCATGTTAATAAAAAATCGGTGAAACTTAATTAGAAATCTGCTCGTGTTATCACTGTGCAAAAAATTGCTTCACTTTAGCTAATAAGGAAGCAATATCACGTGATGAACATGACTTTTCTATTAATTTGTTCTCTCAAGTTAATCCTATCTTTGTTGATTTGTTCCAACTTCGAATTACAAAGATGGCGTCAAATAATAGTCGAAAGAAATTACACTAAAAAATTATTTTAATAATTATTAGATACAACGCCGGAAACCTGCTCCAAACATATAGTGACCACCGGTGAACGCCATCGCTTACCAACAAGAAAACCCCAACTCACTTCCCATATTTCATCTATAGGATTTCACTTAAATACCAAATTGGTACCTTTCTCCTGCTTCATCTATAAGATTTCACTTAAATACCAAATTGGTACCTTTATGTTATGATAGAACTTTGTTGAATTTTCTTAGAAGTGTGCTTTGTTATGAGTTTACTGTCGATTTATGTAGATTAAGAAGAAAGGAGCTAACGATGGAAAGGGAGAGAAAGTGAGGGGTTTAGATAAGTGGGGGTGGTAAAGGAGGAGAGATAAATGAGTAAATGAGATTAGAGATGAGTAACCTGAAGTGGCAGGAGGGGAGGGGGTCGAGTGACTTGGCAGCTGACATGGAAAAAATTGAGGGATTAGGTGTCACGGTGGAGATCCGTTAGGGTTAAGGGCAATTCTAGAAAGTTTGTTAACGGTAGGGGTGGATCTGAACGAAAACTATAATGAGGGACAAACTTAAATTATATACTATAGTAGAGGGGCAATTTTGGACTTTTTCCTATTATATATATAGTTCATTTGCCTTTCGCAACACTTTTGACCAATCCATACCAATATTATAAGAAAATAGATTTTCGGTGTAGGGGCGACTATAACGAACTTATGCCTATTGATGGCGATAAACCTGGTTGCCACGATAAGTAAAGAGTCTTAGTAGCGATTTGGGAAGTCGCCGCGTTTAACTGCGACTAAAAGTGAAATTTCTTGTAGTGTTTCATATGGGTCGATGTGGACTTGTCACACACCATTTCATAGCGTGGACTCCTTTAAATACAAGGAGACGTTTTTCAAGTGTTCGAAACCTGATGTAAGTTAATTTCTTCTCTCAATTATTTATGTATTGTGCTAGTTTTCATGACTGCTATTATAAACATGAACTAAAATATAAGCCTATTAATTGCTTTTGTTAATTAACTGTTGTTCAAACACTTCAGAGAATATTACAAGGACAATTTTTTCTTTTTAAATCTTAATGGGGTAGACACTTGCATGTACATTATTTAATTTAATTAAGTAACGTATTTCAATTTCCAAAGAAAAAATGACACAGAAGTAATCTACACTACTTCAAAAGGTGCATTCAATCTCACCTAAACCATAAACTTTTACTACTATTAAACTTTTAATTCTGACATAACAGTCCTTTTTCCAATTAAGGCCTAAATTTGTTACCAAGTTAACATGCAAGTGTCTCACATGATGATATTAAGGGCATATTTGTGACCTTTTGTAACTAAAATCGGAAGCGGAGTCAGAATTTGAAGTTTATATGTTCCGGATTCTAATTATTTTTAAGTTAGTGGGTTCTAAATTAATAATTTGTACATATTTAACGAATTTCATCAAACAAATACAGGGTTCGAACTAAAACTATTGGGTTCGGCCGAACCCGTAACTCGTTCTCTAGCTTCGCCCCAGACTAAAATCCTCCGGAAAACAAAAACTGAAAATAAATAATGAGAGATGTTAATTAACAACATGACAAAGCTCTAAGGGTTCTGGTTTGATTTGTAAATATTTTTTCCCTGGTATTATATAAAATTTTAATTACCAAAAAAAAAAATTAACAACATAATGAAAATCCTGTAATTTTCCATAACTAACATAAACCAACTGCTATTGGTCCTATTAAAGGACCTGTCATTCTAGTTAGCAGTTCCAGCTCCGTATCAAAATCACGATCGATGTTATCACTAATACTTGGGCAAATCCTTGTTATACTCTTGTACATAGTTGAATCTAATTTACCTTCTATATAATGGACCATTTTTTGCTACTTCACTTTCCTTTATCTCGATCTCTTTCCACTCTACTGGTCTGACTAATTCAAATTCGTGCGGCGGAAACTCTATTGGAGACAAAAGATCCATTATTTAGGGCTGCTGGTGGAGGACTGATCCAATGCTAGTATTTTATTCTGTTTTTCATTGGGCAGCTTAAATACACTAGGAAGAGTAGACTTCCAATTAACTCCACAAGAAGTACTTCTTTTGTGCTTTGCAGCTGAATTTGCAGTTGCAACTATCCTCATTTGCTCAATTAAAGCTTCTGTATTCCCTTCCTCTGATAATATTTCCTCTAATTGCTGTGGATGGATAACTAGCTTCACTCTCCAAACACCTGTTAGGAAATACAAAATCAGAAAGTACGAAAAAGGCTTTCAGGCGCACTAGCGGAGACAGAATTTCTACTAAGATGGTTGAATAAAAAAGAAGAAGAAAAAGTTAAAAAATTAAAAGATATAGTGTCTAGTGGGAGGTGAACTAGCGACCTTACAAATGTTTTAAATAAAAATAGAAAAAAACCAAAGTTTTTAATTAATGTATATATCATTCAAAAATTCAAGTTTTAAATAAAAATAGAAAAAAACCAAGTTTTTATTTAATGTATATAGCATTCAAACTCATTTTTGCCATCCAGGGTGGGATACATTCACTCTTCATACATGTTAAAGATGTAACTAAGCAAATAAAAGTATGTTTGTAATAGTTTAAACTTTTAGATAAAATGATCACACTTTAACAAATTAAAGTATCATAGCAGACAGAGATACCCGAGGTCGAGTCTCACCGCCTCCACTATAAAAAACAATTTACACTCATGAAAAAAAAACTTGGCCCACACGTGAAAGGCGTGATGAAAATATAGGGCATTCCGGTGCACTAAGCCTCCGCTATGCGTATGATCCGGGAATGATCGAACCACAAGGGTCTATTGTGCGCAAATTTACCCTACATTTCTGCAAGAGTTTGTTTCCACGGCTTGAACCCATGACCTCCTCATCACATGACATCAACTTTACTAGTTACGCCAAGACTCCCCTTTAGCGTGACGAAAATATAATTAAGTAAATTAAAGTGACTATTTTTAACAGTTTAAACTTTTATTAGACGAGATGGCAACACACTTCAAGAATATATGTTACAAATTAAACTATTCCTATCTAACAATACCTTCTCGTTGAGCTGGCAAAACTTCCATAGCTGACCCTTTTGTCAAATTAGTTGATGAAACTCGAATTGGCTCTTTTTCAATCACAGGGAGGAGATAGTAGAATTCGCCGTCGACGAGTAATTCTTGATCATGTAATGGAGAAGACAAACGATTTGAACTAAAAATGTTGTAACCTGGGAATTCATCTAGGACTTGTCGAACTAATTTAGGACCTTTGAGGTTTAATATTTCTCCAGAATCTGTCATAACACGAGCAAAGTTAAAATCTAATTTTCTTGCATCTGTCACTGCTTTCATTGAACAGTTGCAGTTTCCCATTGATAAAAAAAGAGAATATTTTGTTGAGTGAATGAAAGAGAAATAGTGGGGGTTGTTTAATTGTGGTGTTTGTGAGTGTGCGTGCATATATATTACAAAAACTTTTAATTTAAGTAATATATACATAAGCGTAAATAATCTTTACATCATTAGACGTCTTAACTTGTTGTAGTAAGTAATCTCAATTATTTTCAAGATTACGAATAGTATATTTTAAGAGGGATTACTTATACATACTATTTGACTAACTTAATAGTGTAATTATTTTTAAACTGACGTTATATATAACTTAAACCTGATAGTATAAAAATCTATTTCTACTAATCGTTTACATAACTAAACTCAAAATTTTATAGCAAACAACCTGAAAAATAGAGAAAGAATTTTTTTTGGTTACAACCGGTTAAATATAAAGAGCAGTCCAGTGCATAAAATATTTTGCGTTTATTTCGGATCCGGGAAAGAGCTTCACCCTCAGGGGTGTGATGTAGATAGCTTACCCTAATGCAAGCATTAATGAGTGCTTCTACGGTTCGAACCCGTAACCTATAAATCACATGGAGATAATAAAAAAAATATTTAAACTGTAATTGAATATAATTAAATATATATTACAAAGACTAGGGACAGAAAAATCTTTAGCTAAATGCAAAAGGTCACGGATTTAGAAGAGGAGACAAGTGGACGAGAGTAGGTGTACTAAGGGTGCAGAAATTTGTGGAAGTTTGGCTTTTTGAAAATTTGAATGCGAAACTTAAGTGATTAGACCGTTGGGATAATGATACATTAATAATGTGTGAATTTTGTCATACAGTGAATTTAACTTTTATGCACGTGATGGCATTAATTTCAGGATGTCCAGATAAGAAGAACATCATGAAGAACAAAGTAAAAAAAGTGTAGATTTTCTTTTATGTAAAAACAAATTCATGAACGGCTAAGACAAACCGTGAATCACTCTCGTGATCTCCGCCTAATCGTGATAATAACTAATAAGCAATCAATTGAAAATTATTTAAATGATTATAAATTTATATGTGATTTCTAGATAATACATAGACGATTTATGGTAATAACTAATAAACGATCAAACAAGAGATCACTTAGGCGATCATAAATAATACGTGCGATATTTTTAGATAACACATATGCGATATATGATTTTATCAAGATCTTTCATTTTATAAAAAATAATCCTGGTAATAATTAATAAATGATCAACCGGAGATCACTTAAACGATCATAAATAATATATGGGCAATATCTAGGTAACACATAGATGATCTATGATTACATCATGATCTCTTGCTTTATAAAAATGATCGTGGTAATAACTAATAAGCGATCAACTATATATCATTTAGATGATCATAAATTCATATGCGATTTCTAGATAACACATACGCGATTTATCGGATCACCAGTATCTTCCACTTTATTAAAAATGATCTTGTAATAACTAATAAGCGATCTACCGAAAAATGATGCTGGTAATAACTAATAAGCCATCAAGAGATCACTTAGGCGATCATAAATAATACATGGACGAATTTTAGATAACGCATATATAGGCAATTTATGAATTTCATCGGTATCTCCCACTTTATAAGAAAATGAAGAATAATAACAACAAATAAACGATCAACCGAAAATCACTTAGGCGATCACAGATAATAGAGTAACAGTCATGGCAAAGCAATGACTATTATTCCTTAGGTCATTTTTGATGGGCCGACAAAATTTTAGGTGATTCGGGTCCGATCGCCAAAAACGAGGAACGGTCATGGCGAAGCGATGACTATTGTTGCTAAGGTCATTTTTGATGGGCTGGACAAATTTTAGGCGATTCAGGTCCGATCGCCCGGATTCATGCAGATGGAGTTGGATATAGCAGATGGCACACGAAAATTTGGAAATCGGGCAGAATTCTATTTTTATGGCCCTAAAACGCTAAAAATGAGGAACGGTCATGGCGAAGCGATGACTATTAGTTCTTAGGTTATTTTTTATGGGCCAGTAGGTGATTCAGGTCCAATCACCCAAATGCATGCAGATGGCGTGAGCTATAACATACGAAAATCAAGTAATCGGGCGAATTTCCAGTATTATGGCCCTAAAATACCAAAAATGAGGAACGACCATGACGAATTAATGACTATTGTTTCTTAGGTTATTTTTGAAAGGTCGAAAAAAATTTTAGGCGACTCCGGTTTGGTCGCCGGGATGCATGTAGATGGCGTGGGCTATACCACACAAAAATTTAGGAATCGGGCAAAATTCCTATTTTGTGGCCCTAAAACGCCAAAACATAAGGAACAATCATGACAAAGTGATGACTATTTTTCCTTAATTCATTTTTGATGGGCCGACAAAAATTTTAGCGATTCGGGTCCGACCTGCCCGGATGCATGCAACTGGCGTGAGTCAGCACATGAGATTTGGGAATCGCCCAAAATTCTAATTTTTTTGCCCTAAAATACCAAAAGAAAGGAACGGTCGTGGCGAAACGATAACTATTGTTTCTTGGGTCATTTTTTATGAGCGATAATATTTTAGGCGATTCGGGTCCGGTCGCCCGGATGTATGCATATGGCATGAGCTATAGCACGATAATCTGGGAATCGGGCGGAATTCAGTTTTATGTCCCTAAAACGGCAAAAATAAGGAACATTCATAGAGAAGCAATCACTATTGTTCCTTAGGTCGTTTTTAATGGGTTGGCAAAATTTTAGGCGATTAAGGTCCGGTCGCCTGGATGTAAGCAAACGGGTTGGGCTATAGCACACGAAAATTTGTGAATCAGGTGAAGTTCCAGTTTTATGATCCTAAAACGTCAAAAACGAAGGAACGATCATGGAGAATCGATAACAATTGTACCTTAGATCGTTTTTGATGGGCCGACAATTTTTTACGCGATTCGAGTCCGGTCAACCTGATACAATTAGATAGCGTGGGCTATATAGCACATGAAGATCTGAGAATTAGGTGGAATTCCAATTTTATGGCCTTAGACCGCCAAAACGTGGAACAAATATAGCGAAGCGATGACTATTGTTCCTTAGGTTGTTTTTATGAGCCGGTGAACTTTTAGGGGATTCGGGTCCGGTCGCCCAGATGCATGCAGATGGCGTGGGCTATACACATGAAAATATGGGAACCGGGAAGAATTCCAGTTTTATGGCCCTAAAACACCAAAAATGAGGAATGATCATGGAAAATCTATGACTATTGTTCCTTAGGTCGTTTTTGATGGGCTGACAAAATATTAGACTATTCGGGTCTGGTCACCCAGATGCATGCATATGGCGAATCAGACGAAATTCCAGTTTTATGGGCATAGAACGCCAAAAACGAGAAACGGTCATGACCTCTCGCGCACAATGCACACCTCAATACAATGTATGAATCGGTCGATTGCAATTATAGTAACCAAACAAAGAGTCGGGATCGAATCCACATGGAGTTAGATGGGAGCTAGAAGTATATATTCTAGTGCGTGAATTTGAACTATCTTAATTTTCACCTCCACAAATTGGTGTTGTTTCTATTTCTATTTTAAAACTAGAGATTATAAAGTAAAGGAATAAGACTAGGGTAATTGTTTTTGTTGTTTTTCAAGTTTTTAAAAAGCCTAGCGCTATGACCATCACCTAGGTATTCGCCTAATGAGATTTAAACTGTAATTCTTGTTTTGTTGATCGGGGTGTATTATAGCTATAAACTCTCAATTACCCACTCAATACCTCTCGATCAAAGAGTAGTTTTTACCAATTTGGCTTTCTCAAATCCAAATGGGTATCACACAAAACAGTTGATAATAGCTCAAGTCGGGTTATTACTATCTCTAGGTTGAACCATTTAATTGGGTTGATCAATCTCTCGATTGACCCAATTTCTTGTTAGCCAAGTATTCCCAGACTAGGTCTTTCTTTCTCAAGTAGAGACTAAGTCAAATATGCATGAACTTATATTTGCAACCATTAATTCCACAAATTAAAGCATGAACAAGGCTAAATAATAAATACTCGATCATAAACAAGCACTAAATTAGATATCCATAAGATTTACACACTAGGATTGGGTCACAACCCTAGTAAAAATCTAGCTACTCATGCTTGAAACTGAAGAACTAGAAGAAGAAATACTAATTAAACTCATATTGTAAAGTTAAAATGATAAATCAATAGTAAAAAACTTCCAAAAAAGGCAAAGAAAAACAGCTACAGGACTTGCTAATATCAAAAGTTGACCTAATTTTGTGAAACTCATTTATTTATACAAGGCTAAAAATTTCGGACAAAAATACCCTTCGGGAGGTTTTGCGGTCGCACAATTCCATCTGCGGTCCGCATAAATATTCATCTTGCAGGAGCTAGGATTCTACGTCCGCACAATTATCAACAGTGGCCGTGAGGCAATGTTTCTGCGATCCGCAGATTTATCAATGCGGCCGCAATCTGGTCTTCTACGGTCCGCATCTTTACTTCTGCGGCCGCAAGGCACTTCTTCTGTGGCCGCACAATTCTTGTGCGGTCCGCAATTTTGAGGGACTTAGACTTTGGAAATTTGCAACCCTATGAAGTTGATCCTCAGCTCGTCATTTGCGGCCGCACAATTCTTGTGTGATCCGCAGTTTGCTAGAAAGCATGCTGAGATTTTCTTCATTGTTTGCGGTCGCAGATGGAATTCTGCGGTCCGCACTTTGTGAGCTTCTGTGCCTTTTATTGATTTGTGTTTAGATTACTCCTTTTTAAGCCGAATTTTATTTCGGGAGTCCAACTTCCAACATTCCTACAATTTTGCACATTTCATCAGTTCCGAGAACATCATTCAACGCTTTTAGACTAAAACAAAATCTAAAAGGTGCTAATAAGTAGTCAAAATCCCCACTTATCAATTCCCCAGACTTAAGTTTTTACTTGTCCTCAAGGAAATAAAATAGTTCCCACCTCCACAAGTTAAGGGTCATTTCAGCAAGTCAAAGGTGAGCCATTCACACATCACTTTAGACGAACAATTACCCACACTACTTATGTATTATCAACAAAGAGACAAGTTAAACTTTTATGCACATATAGTTCTAATGTGA